AAGACCACGTCTCTACTTATCACGATCTTCCTTGTAATTGGATTATAGAGCCTGTATCCTTTAGATTCCTCACTCATTCCCAACAGCACACATTTACAACTCTTGTTTTCCAATTTGGTTCTCCCTGCATCTGGAACGTGTACATGAGTTACACAACCAAACACCCTAAAATGCTCAACTGAAGGCTTTACACCACTCCAAGCCTCCTCTGGCGTTTGATTCTTGACAACCAATGTTGGAGATCTATTTAGTACATACGCTACCCAGTTTACTGCTTCAGGCCAAAAGGATTTTGGAAGTTTCTTCTCTGATAATAAAGTTCTCACCAAGTTCATGATGGTTCTGTTCTTCCTCTCAGCTACCCCATTCTGTTGAGGGGTGTAAGCTGTTGTTAACTGTCTTTTAATTCCTGTTTTCTGACAGAATTCATTGAACTCCGATGATGTGAACTCTCCTCCCCTATCAGTTCTGAGGCACTTAATCATCAGACCAGATTCCTTTTCAACAAGATTCTTAAAACATTGAAAGTAGTGAAATGCCTCTGATTTTTCTGTTAAGAAATAAATCCATGCCTTTCTAGTGTAATCATCAATAAAACACAAAAAATACCTCTTTTGGCTATTGGAAGATGGAATAATCGGGCCACAAATATCTGCATGAATCAATTCTAATTTTTGTTTTGCTCTCCATTGACTTTTCTTTGGGATGGGATCTCGATGTTGCTTTCCTTTCATACAATCTTCACACACCTTTTCTGTTGTAGATAATGAAGAGGGAAGGCCTCTAACCATTCCTTTACTTTGTAAAATTCTTAGTCCTTTGTGACTGAGATGTGCATATCTACGATGCCATAAAGATGAGAGATCCTGAGTAGAGATGTGAAAGCATGAATCCTTCTTGGTTGCAGATTGAGCAAATAGAATGAACATTCTGTTTGTTGTCATATTAGTCTCTAGGATCAAACCCTTGTCAGGATGGTACAACTTGCAGGTTCCTGACTGAAACATTACCGTTAAGCCCTTTTCTTGCAGCTGCCCTATACTCAACAAATTGTTCTTGAGTTCTGGTACTAAAAACACATCAGTAATTATGTGAGTGACTCCTTTAATGTTCAGCCTAACACTTCCTTTTCCAGTCACCTCCATTCTTGTGTTATTACCAAGCTTTACGTGTTGCTTGAAGGTGTCATCTACTTCTTTAAACCAAGCTCTATTTCCACACATGTGGTTTGAACAACCAGAATCCAAGAACCATGCATTTGTTGTCTGCACACCATGTAAATCCTCATCAGCCATTAGTAAGAGCTCTTCTTCTTCATTGAATGCAGCATAATGGGCTTCCTTATCCCAATCTGGACATTCATTCTTATAATGCTCGAGTTTATGACATTTAAAACATTCAATTGTGGCTCGATTTTGCCTCCCTCTTCCTCTTCCTCTTCCTCTGTAGCTGCCTCTGCCCCTACCTCCATTGTCTTCAGAACTTACTTTGAGTGCCTGCTCCTCTTCATGTTTTTTGTGAAATTTCTGCTCATGAACTATCAAAGAACTTTGAAGTTCATCAATGGAAAGAGAGTCAATGTCTTTAGACTCCTCAATTGAACAAACTATGTAATTAAATTTTTCAGTTAAGGATCTTAGAATCTTTTCAACAATTATTACATCCTGCATCTGCTCTCCATATGTTCTCATCTTGCTAGCCACACTCATGACCCGAGAAAAGTAGTCAGTTATGCTCTCACCCGATTTCATTTCAAGAATCTCGAATTCTTTCCTTAAACCTTGAAGAATCGACCTTTTCACTCTTGCATTGCCTTCATATTTTCTTTTCATCGAATCCCATATTTCCTTTCCATCTCTAGAGAGATTTCTCAGAAAATGGAAACGCACATCGATATGCTTGCTTCTTCCATGCATAATAGGATTCTTAGAAAGTTTAATAGTTGAGCTATTGTCACACATCAACGTGGTGCAACCTTCTTGATTATGTCCCAGCTCCTTCAAAATTCTCCTCATCCACACGACTTGACAGGCACAAGCTGCAGCTGCCACAAATTCAGCTTCTGTGGTGGACAATGTCACAATCGACTGTTTTTTGGATGACCAAGCTACTGCTCCATTACTTAGTAAAAAACACATAACCAGAGGTGCTTTTTCTGTCTGCCAAGTCACCTGCATAGTCACTGTCAGTGTAAGCTAACAATTCTTCATCTCCTCCCTTCTTATAGAAAATACCAAAATTCACAGTTCCTTGTAAGTATCTAAGAACTCTCTTTGCAGCCTGCATATGTATTTGAGTGGGTTGGCTCATAAAACGACTGATCAAACTAACAGAGAACATCAAGTCAGGTCTGGTTGCTGTAATATACATGAGACTTCCTACCAGTTGCTTGTACAGAGTCTCATCTACTTAAAAATAATTAGAGAAATAAATTGAATAAAAAATTATGATTAGTTTTGACAAGATATTAGAGAAATTTATAAATTACTTTATTTAGTTTATAAACTAATTTGATATAAATAAGTTTGCTCGATAAGAATCCTTATAATCTTTTTATCTAGAAACACTTATAACAAAGGAACATGAGAAGAGAGAATGAAAAGTTTTTCTATAAAATAATTTGTAGAAACTTTCTTCTATTAATTTTTTCAAAATCTTAATTTGAATTTATTCATATGTTTGTTTTAACAAATTTTATTTTTTTCCTTTTTTCTTTTGAATTTTTTTTTGAAAAAATTTATTCAAACATACTTTATTTTAGTAGCTTATTTTGTAAGAATATTTTCAAGAGAAAAAAAATAGAAAAATAAATAAATAAAAATTTTCATATATTAAAATTAATTTGTGCATAAACCAATTTGAAAAAGTTCTCTTATGTTAGATTCTCAAAAAACTATTTTTTAACTTGTGTATAAACTAATTTTAACATATACAAAAATACAATCTCTCAACAACATTCACAACCCTGCACAACTTTGTCTCGACCAAGGTTGGTGTTGCCCTTTTCCATGACTAGCGTTGCTTTGATAGAAGTATTTGCATCAAGAATAAACATGGAGTGTTAGAATATAAAGAACGAAGAAGTATAAAATGCTAAAATACTTCACTGAATATTCATTAATCAATATAATGCTCTTATAGAGTTACAAGTGAGGCCCAAACAACTAACCAACATTAAACCAGAATTGAAAACAGATTACAGTAACTAACACAATAGAAAATATGCTAACATATCCTCCCTTAAACTATTGCTTAGACAAGCAATTAGTTTATCTTAGGAATTTCACATACTCCCATCTGCTCTCGAAGCTTAAGGAAGCAATCCAACTTCAGAGGTTTGGTTAGTAAATCTACAATTTGTTCCTTAGTTCCACACTGAACCAACTCTATACATCCATCTCTAGAGAGATTTCTCAGAAAATGGAAACGCACATCGATATGCTTGCTTCTTCCATGCATAATAGGATTCTTAGAAAGTTTAATAGTTGAGCTATTGTCACACATCAACGTGGTGCAACCTTCTTGATTATGTCCCAGCTCCTTCAAAATTCTCCTCATCCACACGACTTGACAGGCACAAGCTGCAGCTGCCACAAATTCAGCTTCTGTGGTGGACAATGTCACAATCGACTGTTTTTTGGATGACCAAGCTACTGCTCCATTACTTAGTAAAAAACACATAACCAGAGGTGCTTTTTCTGTCTGCCAAGTCACCTGCATAGTCACTGTCAGTGTAAGCTAACAATTCTTCATCTCCTCCCTTCTTATAGAAAATACCAAAATTCACAGTTCCTTGTAAGTATCTAAGAACTCTCTTTGCAGCCTGCATATGTATTTGAGTGGGTTGGCTCATAAAACGACTGATCAAACTAACAGAGAACATCAAGTCAGGTCTGGTTGCTGTATTTTTACTAAGTAATGGAGCAGTAGCTTGGTCATCCAAAAAACAGTCGATTGTGACATTGTCCACCACAGAAGCTGAATTTGTGGCAGCTGCAGCTTGTGCCTGTCAAGTCGTGTGGATGAGGAGAATTTTGAAGGAGCTGGGACATAATCAAGAAGGTTGCACCACGTTGATGTGTGACAATAGCTCAACTATTAAACTTTCTAAGAATCCTATTATGCATGGAAGAAGCAAGCATATCGATGTGCGTTTCCATTTTCTGAGAAATCTCTCTAGAGATGGATGTATAGAGTTGGTTCAGTAGTACTACACTTAATTGCATTTATTTGACCGGATACGGCTCCGATCATGTTGTTTGGTTGTAATATGACCTTGTATAGTCGTTTGGGCAATGAGTAGGTATATTTATATATTTTTGAATATCTTTTGTGTAAATTATATATATATATATATATATATATATATACACAATAAAAGTTTTAAATCTTTTACCTTATACATATATCAATGTGTATGATAACCTTAAGTTAGTTGTATACTGTTTAATATTTTCTATTACATAGTAACTGAACTATAATAAGTGTATAGACCTATCGGATCGTTACAATAGTAAGACATGTAAGTTTATGGTCATGATGCTTCGCTTGTAATTAAGAGTCTGTTTGGTTCAAAAGAGAGAAGGTGAGAGAAGAGATTTCAACAAAAAAAGAGGAAAAAAGTTAAAAATTTTGTTTGATTAAGAGAATGGACAGGAAAATAATTATTTTCTTGTTTGGTTCACAAAAAGAGGATTTTTTTTAAAAAAAAAATACTTCTATATATTCATAATTTTAAATTTAATAACATAAATAAAGATACTTTGAACATTATACTAAAAATGTTTTAAAATCCCTCTCTCTCACTCCAAATCCTCCTAATTTTAGAAGGGAGCTAAAATTAGATAAAGAAGGATTTTCTTCCCCTCCATTCCCCTTCCCTCTCCTCCTAAAAAGTGAATTAAACAAGAAAAGATTTTAAAAATTTCTATCCTCTTCTTCATTTCTCTCCGACCACAAACACTATGTAAGAGTTTGAAATGAACCATGCATTTTTGTAATTGTCAGCAACAAATTAAAGGGATTCATTGTCACAGATATAGCCAATGGTTGATTAAAAAAAAAAATCATAGTCCTTTTGAATTAGCTCCAAGTAGCACAACTCTTCAATTCAGCATATATCTATGTAATGTAACGCCCCCACATCGCTTGCAGGGGTACCCCTATTGATATATAATAATTATCAACAAATTAAAAAACTATACAACATAGAACTCATCCTAGATTATCCAAAACTTGAGTAAAAATATTGTGTTGTGAAGTCTCATAGGAAAACAACATCTATATGAGTTTCTTCTTCTGAAAAAAGCGCTTCAGATACCACACTTGCAATACCGACACCAAAATGCAGACACTAAGAGACATGATGCTAAACCATGCCACTCTACCATTTGTTCTTTCACTGATTTCCCTCATCTTTGCTTCCCTGTAACAAAGTCCAATAAATGGAATTTCTGAAATGCACTAATCAAGCATAATTGTATTGTAGCAGTTATTGTAAAGAAAATTTTCTCATGTGGTGCATATTTCAGTGGTTGGAACTTTGATGAGCCTTACTTTATAGGTACAGAAAAGAGCCTAACTTCATAAATGCCTTAAATCAACGACGACAAACTAAGACCCTGATAATCAAATTAAAATAAAACATAAAGTGTAAGGGGATGGCATTTACTTATCCTTCAAATAAATTAGATAGCCGTGGATGGCTCCCACTGCTCCTTCAAGTTTCCTGAGCTCAAGTTCAACTCCCTTTAACCATAGCAGAAAAATTAAACTAATTAATAACTTAATAATAATTAGAAATAAAAATAAAATATAAACATTTATATATTTCATTTAAATGTAAAATGAATAATATATGCCTTGAGCAAAGAATTTTAACGCTATTATTATCTTTACACAAGTTCTTCAGCATCGAGCTATGATACACCAATATGATACGCGTATCGGATACGATATGTATCCGATACGACAATACGAGTATTTTAAAATATATAGGATACGATACATGTAAGATATGTGCCATCATATGTATCAATTTTCATACAATATGAGAAATGTGTACTTGTAATTTTGATCAAAATTCATAAACATTAAATATATAATTGCTATTTTGCAAATCTAAATTAAAATCATACTTATTGTACATTACTAAAAATAAATAAATTATAAATCATTTCATCATAAATTACTTTTTATTATTTATAAATAGAAATAATATTACCAATTTCATTTCTTTCTTAAAATTATCTATATGAAAGATAATTTTCATTTATAATTCATCAACAATCAATATTTCTATATTTTTACATTAAACATGTTTATATATCTTATTTAGCTGTAATGAATATTTTATAATTTTTTAAAAATTTAGATATTTTATTGATATATATCACCAATAAGTATCGATAAAATATCTTAGTATCAGAATTGAATAAAATTTTCATAATATTTTTAAAGGTTAGGATACTTTACCCAGTCGTATCAGTGAAGTATCTAAATATATCGTATCGAATATGTATCGAATACGGATATGTAAAACAAATTGAAGTATCGGTACTTTATAACTATCGAGTAGTTAATTCAAATGGTACTGGACTCTAGGGGTGAGCAACGGGTGGGTTTGGTCGGGTTCGGGTGAAAAATGTCCAACCCATTGTAAACCGACTTTGAAAAAATGTGACCCATATCCGACCGACTGAGCTTTCGATTTGAGGCGGTTCGGGTTGAAACGGATTCGGATTTAAGCGGGTGGGTATAATCGGGTTTGAATTTTTTTGTAAACCAATTTATCTTAAGGAAGATGAAGCTTAAAACGATAAAAAATATTTTTAAAATAGTGTATAAAAATAGAATGAAGGTGACAATAGATGGTGTAAGTAGATTCGTAGTTGAAACATTTACAAACTAAAGAAGCAAAAATAAAAGATAACAAAATTCATAGTTGTTACATGGAAAAGAAATATAAAGTTAGATTACAAAATCATAAGAAATCACAGTCACACAAAATGTACTCAAAATGGAGATAAGAAGATGGAAAAGAAAAACAAAGAAAGAAGCAAAAAGATAACTCTAAAAATGGACTAGTGTGTTGAGAAGTTGAATGAGGAAGGAGAAGACAAAATAAATATATAAGTTATGAGAAAAAGGAAAAAAATAAGTTACAAATTGATGGCTATATTATACTTGAAATAAAGACTTTTAAGTTTGGACCATTGTTGTTTAGTTATACAAAAGAAATAAAAATTTAAACTTATCTCATTTTCGGTTGGGTTCGGTTTTTGGCGGGTTTAAAAATTCAAAACCGAACCCGCCCAATATAACCTGTATAAAATCAAAATTTTAACCCGATTTACCCATAAGACCCGCCCAAACCCACCCAAAAACAATATTTTTTATCGGGTTTTTCAGGTTCGGTTCGGGTGTCGGTTTAATGCTCACCCCTACTAGACTCAATTTCTTGAAATAAAGTTGAATTGGAGTCTTGTTAATAAAAAAACTGTAATTGAAATGAGAGAACTGGCTAAAGATAGTGAATCAGGTTTACGATAGAGAACGTGAAAGAAAAATGATTTCTAATTTGTTCAATGCATGCTTATAATCTCTTACACATATATTAGAATGACGGTAGAACATGAATGAAATTTTTACCTCGATCTTTTCTTTCTTTGCAACAGACTCCCAATCCTTGGCAGAAATTCCAGTTTTCCATTCAAGGCTGACAGATGCTTCTTCTTGAGGTTTACCTTCCATCTCAAAGCACGCCACATAGCTCCCACTCTCCACAGTTGTAAATGCAAATTGACCTTGTGTGGCATTTTCGTTATGGTGAAGGCTATTTCCATAAGGTGATGTTACCTGGGAAAATAAACAAAACAAATTAGATCAAAGCAAATAATTTTTAACACGAGTCCTTTAAAATTATACTCACACCTTAACCCAATGTCCTTGTTTCACAACATTAGAAATCAATAAATGGAAGATCTCAATTCTCAATGGTGGACAGCAACAAATCAGCTCAGAAATTTGTTTAATTTCAGAGTAATCAACGGTTGAAAAATCAAAAACAAACACCCCTTATTCATCATCAACCTTGATTCATTTGATAGAGAAAGCCCTCTTAGAGGAGAATTTATCAGATGTTTTCATACAACTAGGTGTATATGATCTCGATCAATCTTTACGCGACACGTAATAGGGTTTCTCAAATTACAAGAAAGAATTAATAACAATTGATTAATTAAAAGATAAAACATGACCATTCAGAACCATGTCTAAATTGCGGGCCGCATCACCTGTTATGGTTGCGGAGTATCTACAACAGAGCCAACAATTGCGGCGTAAATTTCAATCACAGGAAATGGCAATTCAAAATTTAGAACCATGTCTTTGACCAATATCTTTGACTGCCATAAGACCAAAAAAATAAGGAGATATCTTCATCTGTACGAAGTTTAATTTCTTTTAAAAAAAATCGTGAAAACACCATCGAATTGACCAAGTTGAATGCATAAGGAATGAAAAGAAACAAGAAGAAGACGAATTTTTGTTGTGGGATGGGAAGATTGATGAAAAATATATACCTTGACCGAAACCGTATGATGATGTGGATCATGTCCGGTGATAACATAGTAATCGGCTAAAACAACGACGTTTGTCTGGATTTCCTCAGACACGCACTTAGCACCCGAAGTGGGGATTGTTAACCACACGGCCTCTGCAAGAGGGAGCACGTAAAAGAGAGCGGTGAAGCATAACAACAACAGCAGAGTCATTTGCGTTATACCCCGACCCATTAGCGGAGGTTGTTGACCTTGGAATGAGACAACAAGAGGGCTGAGATCTAGAATTTGAGTGTTGTAATGTAATGTAATGTGTGTTGCGTTGTGTTTGGATGAGGAAAAGTTGAGTTGGTGAGATACCGGGTTCAGAAGTTAAGTAGTTGGTCAAAAAGAAGATTTGGTGGCAGTGACGTATTTGAAGCCTAGTTGGCTTTTCATTGACCAATCACGTTCCTGCATGCAAGGAAAGGTGCCACATAGACGACATGTCCCACGCGCACTCCATGTTTGGCAGAGTCTAATTCCAGAAAGAAAGTGAGTGGACTTGTGTTGATGAGCATGGCCACTCTACACTCCCACTTCCGCATCCTCGCTTACTCACTCTCACTCTCACTCATCCTTCTAACTCTCCACTTCATAACGGCAACCGAACAAGAAGACACCCCCATCACACGCTTCCAACGCTACCTCCGCATCAACACGGCCCACCCCACCCCAGACTACACCTCAGCGGTCTCCTTCCTCAAAGCCCAGGCCCACTCCCTGGGCCTCCAAACAAAAACCCTCGAATTCACCCCAGGCAAGCCCCTCCTCCTCCTCACGTGGCCCGGCACTGACCCCTCCCTCCCCTCCCTCCTCCTCAACTCCCACCTCGACTCCGTCCCCGCCGAGCCCGCCAAGTGGCTCCACCCTCCCTTCTCCGCCCACCGCACCGCCGACGGCCGCATCTTCGCCCGCGGCGCCCAGGACGACAAGTGCATCGCCATCCAATACCTCGAGGCCATCCGCAACCTCAAGGCCCAATCCTTCGCGCCACTCCGCTCCCTCCACGTGTCCCTCGTCCCCGACGAGGAGATCGGCGGCCTCCACGGCGCCGCCAAGTTCGTCGAGTCCGAGGACTTCCGCCGGCTCAACGTCGGATTCGCGCTCGACGAGGGACAGGCCTCCCCCGGCGACGAGTTTAGGGTTTTCCACGCGGATAGGGTTCCGTGGAACGTGAAGATCCGTGCCCGGGGAAGCCCCGGCCACGGGTCCAGGTTGTTCGACGGGAGCGCCGTCGAGAATCTGATGGAGAGCGTGGAGGTTGTGAGTAGGTTCAGGGAGAGCCAGTTCGATGTGGTGAAGGCGGGGAAAGCGTTGAACGCTGAGGTTGTGTCCGTGAATCCGGTTTATGTCAAGGCTGGGGTTGCTTCCGGTGATGTCAGTTCGTGCTGCTTTTGCTTTCTGTTTAATTGAATTGTGAATTATTATTTGGTTTGTGCTGTGTTTGACCTTTGAAGTGAGTGGTGTGTGTTTGTGCAGGGGTTTGTGATGAACGTGCAGCCTTCGGAGGCGGAGGCTGGGTTTGATCTGAGGCTGACGCCGACCACGGATCCCGAGGAAATGAGGAGGCGGATTGCGGCGGAATGGGCGCCGGCTGTTAGGAATATGTCATATGAGGTGAGATTTCTAACGAAGAATCTGATTTGCCTTTTGCATCAACTAGTTAGTATGTTGTCATTGGCTGTGTGTTTTTAGAAGTTTGAATTTGGATTCCCCTTGCATGGTTTCTGAGTCTGTTACTGTAGTCTTTTAGATTGTTTTGCATCCCTGTTGTTTATGATATCAGAGTATGAAAACATTTTCTATATATTTACAATTCCATTCCTGTTGTGTAGCTTTTCATTTTAAGTCTATGATACTAAAGGTCCATAGAAATGATAGATGCTCAACCAGCAGTATAGCATGATTGTATATGTGTATCATTCATTACTAGGTAATCTTTCAAGAAAATAGTTAGTTGATACAAGAAATGAACTAAGAACAAATTACACACTAGGGAATAGGGATTGCACTTCTAACAGCTAACAAGTTTGGAAGGTTTGTAAATAAGCATTTTTTTTCATACATGTTTTGAAGTTTTAATTCATTCATTATGAATTTATGATGTGTATTACTATAATAAACCTTTTTTTCTGTTGAGAGGCAAGAAATAATAGGCTCTGAAGTGTGAACATTATTACATCTTTTATTTCCATGTAAAACTTGAAAGGCACAGTTATTCACTTCTGGTTTTACTGGATTTGTGTATATTGGAATTAAGGGACTCCCTGTGGGATTGGGAGATCAGCTGGTTGAGTTACACACCTGAACAGAAAAATAGTATTGCATTTATGTCTTTTTTTAATGCTATTTTTAGTAATAAAATTAATAGATTTTCTTTTTGTTTTCAACCTTGCTTCTGAATGCACCTTGTTGAACTTTAAGGATTGGACCTGATTTGGTGGAAAGTAGGATAGATATATGTAATATGTGTGTGTGTTGTGAATCATATGATATAAAACACTAATCTAATACTTGAATTTATACTAACTAGGAATCAAAGTCGGTGCAAGCATAATACCACCAGTACAAGATTAACTCGATAACACTCTTAAGTCTTAACATCGATAATAATGTTAATATTCTAATCCCCTCCCTTAAACTGAAGTTCACTTAGCATCAAGCTTGTTACATAGTGTTAGAATGGCTCAATATTTTTAATGTATCTCAGTATTGTTAGGATCCTATTTTAAGGTATGAACTTCAGTCTCTTGTTAGAAGTATGAAATTCTAGTGTGGAGTTCATTAGGCCTTGTTCTCTCCCAACTATAGCTTTCGTGGTGTAGTTCTCCGCAGGATCTTATCAATTGGTTTCAAAGCTTCTCACTACATGTCTCAGCTGCAAATGGGGGGTGTGGATGGTGACACCAACATTTCAGTAGTTGCCTAGGATCAGTCCAAAGGCTAGTACACAACCAGCCCGTGTGGGTGTGATGTGTTTCAGAAACCCATTCTTACTCCCATAACAAGGTCATTTAGGGGTTTTTCAGGGGGGAAATTTATGATTTCTACCCTTCCTTTGAACATCTGGAAAAACCTTATTTTTCCTAACAAATGACACTTGCATCTAGACAAATCACACCCACTTACCCACCCTTCTCTGTTGGTATTTTCATGTTTACCAGTATCCTCCTGCCAGCCTATGTTCCCTATGGCCATTTGTTATTATGTTCCTTGTTCACTCAAACCTCAGTTACTACTTACTGCTGCATCCCTTTGTTGTTCTCTCTGTTTCATTTGGTCCTTTGCAGAAAATCCCACATTTGGAAAAAGATCTTTCAAATTTCATCTCTCCCTGATTCTATGTGTATAGTGTAGTTTTTTTACCTATAAATTTGCTTTGATGGCTATCCCACTATAGCATTTTCGGGGCTGGCTGCTACCTGCTGTTATTCTCAATTGATACCTACGAAGGGGATCACCACATAATCCCACACTATTGTCCCTAGTTGACATGGAGCTCTCTGGCATACCGGGACCAGCAAACACCACCCCTTAGGAACATGCAGTGGTACGGACCTTGTAATTTGGTTGCAGCTGTAATACGAGCCATGATATATGTCCCATCGGTATAATTATTTGGGGTCTTTGTTTTCTCCTTATCCATCTAATCCTTATAATTGCCCCATAAATGTTGCGGTGAGGGCAATTTTTTTGGGGTCACAATATATTGAAATAAATTTCAATTCTTAATAGGTATAATTACACTAACCTCTTTTGAAGTTTGCCTTCATTACACTACGCCCTTCCTGATTAGAAAATAAAACCTTCCTCCCCATGTTATTTAAGGGCATTGTTTATGGTCTATTCCCTGTACCAATGCTACATGTTTTGCAGTACTGTGCTTTTCTAGTGGGGCATATACTTATTTAGTTCACTATTTTGGATAAAAAAATGCTTAGTATTGGATACTATGCATTAACTTCAAATACTAATAAGTAATAAATATTAAAAATATAAAAAGAAAAAGTTAGAAAATAGAATAATGCCAAAACACTATTGAAATATAAAATAACCAAATCATCAAATAATTTATAATTAAAAATATAAATATGATTTTTTTTAATTCCAAATCTTGATTTTATGGAGCCATATCAAGAAGTTACTATCCATGATGCAGCCTTCAGAAAAATCTACGTGGCCAAAACAATTTGTTTCTTTTGATTACAGCATGAAAGTTTTCATTGATTCATATACTAGAATTCACTCCCGATTTTTTTATACTTCTCTTGGGAGAAGAAAAAAAGAGAAAGCATAAACTAAATGATGAACGGTATTGATAAATGACAGTGATGATGCATATGAATGAAAGGGTCACAAGAAGGTTCAACCAAAATGGCTGATGGAATTTCTTCTATAAAATTATTTAAGCTAACAAATAAGTCAACACAATATCTTTTAGACTCTTTAATTTGAAGTTGACGGATGTGATAGATTTGAAATAGATTATGTTTTTATGTCAATGGTATTCCTTTCGATGTATGAAAGCCTAATTTTCATGAGACGATTTTTGCATGGAGGTTCTAAAGGCTACAAGGCTTCTTCATTTCATATTATAAGGCAGGGGTCACTCACTTTACAGTTTACATGAGGAATAGAATCAAAGCATAGAGAAAGACCTTATTCCAATTAGAGGTATTTGGTATTCTCAAGTAGGTTTTATTGTTACATATGGATGTATCAACTATAAAACTCAATAATAAGAATCTTGGGAGAACCACACCATAAAAGCTAGCTATTATGGACCAAATTGTTTAAACTTAAAAAAAAAAAAAAGCGACTATAAAAAAATGTGCTTTTTAAAAAAATGTAAGAAGTTATTTCCTAAAATAAGTAGAAAACTGCTTATTTTTAAAAATAAGCAGTTTAGATAAATACATCAACAAAGTAAAAAAAAATTGCCTATTTTTATTAAAAAAATGTTTTTTTCTTTAAATTCAAGTTAAAACAAATAGGCCCTATAGTTGGAGTCTAAGGCCTTATAAAATGCTGTCACACTGTCTTCAAAATCTTGAAGAACCTGCCATAGTGCCATCGACTCTGACACTCTCCTATTGTTGAGCTTAATTATGAAAAAGTTGGAGACACCCAGAAACTGGGACATCACCAGTTGCAGCTATCCATGGGAAGAAGATGGTGGTTGCAAACTGAGACAGTGCTCGCTGTGTTTGCATTTTGCAAGCTAGACTGTTTTTTTATCGGTCATCAGGACTTTTAATGATAAAACTGAGCAAATAATAAAATCTTAGGGTATTTTTGCCACCCTAGATATATTTATGTATACAATCTAATTTATCCATAGAATAGTGACTAAATGCTTAATAGTGCCATATTAGTGTATACTAATAGTTGCAATGTAATAGCTAACTTCCCTTGCTTTTATTTATTTATTCCTATTTCTCTTTGGCTATCGTTTTCCAATATGTATATGAATACTCGGTTGCTTTTAGAGGCTTCAACTTATTTGATTCCTTGACATTTATTGTTGTTATTGACATGTGTTCTCAAATCTTGACTTTTGATCATTCATTATGATCTTTGGTGTTAGGTGTCTTTTTCCTAATTTTTCAGCATTTGTATGTGTAATATAAAATTATATAACGAGTCTCAAAACCTTAGTACTGTAGTAATTCTGTTACCTGCTACCGGGTTTTAATGCTTGTAGCTCTTTTAATGTTATGAGGCCTTATTCTATTCCTTTTATTCTTTATACTATCAGATGTGGCTCTGTTGTTAAAACATAAGAATAAGACCATTGTCTTTGCCATTAATTTCTTCTCCGCAATCTTTCTGCCCTTGTTTTTGGGTAACCATATTTGGCAGATTATAGAGAAAGGACCCATTAGAGACTACTTGGGACGCCCGTTAATGACTGCAACTAATGATTCCAATCCATGGTGGTCAGTTTTCAAGCAGGCTATCACATCTGTTGGAGAAAAACTTTCAAGGCCTGAAATTCTTGGGTCCACAACTGATGCTCGATTCCTAAGACAGAAAGGAATTCCTGTACTCGGTTTCTCCCCAATGAAAAATACTCCCATCCTGCTTCATGATCACAATGAGGTTTAAATAATTCTGTCAATTCTTCAGTATTATGCAGTTCTCATTTCATTCCACATGAACTCTTGCTCTAGTATAATTTTTTAACTTCCGTGACTTTCACTTGCAGCATTTACGAGATACCGTGTTCATGAAGGGAATACAGGTATACGAGTCTCTGATAAGTTCCTTGACTACATTTACAGAAGCTTCGCATTAAATGCCCCCAACCCAGTTGATTGAGGGGCCTGTTGCTTAGAAAAGCCATGTCTAACCTTTTAGGGAAAATCTCAGCGATTGGATTCCCCTCCCCCTCCCCCCGGCCCTGCCAAATAATAAGTAGTGTAAAACCATAAATAGCAACATTGATATCCGATATTGCTTCAATTCGCTCGTGGTGGGGACTGGAGATGGTACATACTTATTATTGGTATAATTTGCAATCACCACAATTTTTATTTTCCTGCTCTAGTCTATGAAGTTTATCCGGTCCTCGATGTTAAATCATCGATGATTGCCTATCATGGGCCAACGACCCAATTCTCTACATAAGTATTATCCTTCGATGCTATGTAAAATCTTCAGAAGTAAAACATTGTTTTTTAAGAGCAAATGTTTATTTTTAGTTTGTCATAAGTTTCATTTCATATTGTGATGTATGGTAAAAATAGAGGTGCTTGTGCGCTCGAGATTTTTATCTATAGATTAATAGCGAGTAAATAGTCACTTTGATGTTTGAAAGATTGGAATTTGGAAGTTGGTTATTTTATAGTATGCAAAATTTACGTCAAAGATACAAAAGCTATTTCTGGTAGCTTCATTCTAGATGTGGAAAATAGCGTTATAAATGAGTGATCAAACACACGATTAGACTGTTGCTATAAACTCAAAATTAGTTCATTAGGTCCTTAGAATTTATGTTAATATATTTGTCAAATCAACTCTCGTTAGTTAATATATCAGTTATAACAAAAATGCTATTTGACAGATTGAATGTATACGTTTTTAAAATTCATTCTTTCCAACGTGACTCATTTCATATACTTTAGGTTAAAGAATGTGCTTTCCACTTCAAGTCCTCTCTTCCATCTACCGATCAAAATGTATATGTAGAAGATTAGCTAGCACAAACCATAATCTTTCATTTCAAACATTTTCAAAGCATTGTCTACATCATTTGTACCTTTGTACTGAAGGCTTGCAGCGCATGGACGTGCCCCTGTCCCCACCATTTGTCATCAACTAAATCTTCAGTATTTATATTCTTGAATCCATTCTCCCTCTTCCTCATTAATATGATGAAAATTCCAATCTCAACCTCAAACTCATAATATTTTTCACATAAAAGTTCGTTTCCCCATTTAGTTTTTGTTATGTTCAATTATTCTGTTTTGAGCTAAAATGGAATTTAACTGGACTTATTTCAAGCGCGAATACTAATGATAAGGATAGTTCGCAAGCAAAATGTCAGAAGATGAACTGGAAGTTGTTCCATGCATGAATTTTTCTGGTAAAAAATAGCATCTATGATGTTAGTTCAAATGTCATCATTCATGTCTTTGCATTATTTTGTTTTTTAATCCTTGCACCGTTGTACGTCTATATTCACTGTTATGTCAAGACAAATTGAAGAAAAGACGAGGAGAATATGGAAAAAGAAGAAACTAGAATGGAAAATCCTTCCTCATTATTTACAGCTATATGACAAGAATTACTAATTCATCTTAAAATGTTAATTTGTTAAGAGAATAGTATGATTGGTGAACATTTTGACTGCTCCAAACACTTCATTAGCCCTCAATATTTTTCTGTCTCTCTTTTATTATTACACATTATTATCTATCATACGTACATTTCTATATATGTCTTCTTTTTCTAAGTGTCAAGTAAGTTTTAAGCATCGAAAATTCATTTTTGTCAAAAGAATGTTAAGGTCGGTTTAGTTTGAGAAAACATTTTTTATATTTATTTTTTGTTCTTTTTAATTACAAACATGTCATATTATTTCGACTATTTTTTGTTTGCAAAAGTTATTATAGGAAACAATCAAAAACAACTTTTTATTATCTTCTGAATTTGTTTTCCATTCTCTACACGAGTTTTTGAAACACATAATAAGAAAACATTTTCTCAAAATAAATTATCTCTACCATCAATGGGATATCAAGAAATGATGATGATAAAATTTCAAAATTAAAAAAAAGGATCCTCTTGTGCAGTACGAAGTAGCATTGGAAGCTCACTTATTGCTAGTGGATCAAGATTCAAGAAGTTGGTGTTGTTGGCCCCATAGGAAATATATTATTGCATGATATAAAAACAGCTATCAAACACTGGCTATCACTATGGATATGGTTGTTGATTTGACAATACCCTCCATTTTTTTCTTGGAAGTTTCACTCTATATCCTTTCATTGTAGCAAAACAGGGAATTTGAGATTTAATACTCATAAATTCAAGAATATTTTCATGAAACTCCCCTCTCCCCACATGGATATTGCCTCTTCATTCCCCTGACCCAACAACCTTCTAAATATAAAATCATTGAGTGTACTTTCGCCCATGCCTCATCTCTTGAGAATTCGTTACTCGTCACACCTTATCATAACATATCATTTGTATATCTTATACGAATGAGATGACACTAGACACTTTCCAATTATAACTCTCAACTTCCAAATGCATGCATGGCTCTGAGGTGAGGTCACTTCGAGCAATGCATGCTATCCAATCCAGTGGGCCCCACAATTTATTTGCTTGTCGTTTTCTTGTGTCTCTCAGTACGGAACGTCTCATAGTCGGTACGGGCCAGTTAGGAAAGAGAAATTAAGTGCACTACGGTTTATATAAAACTTTTTCATTATATATCAAAATATACGGCACTACCATGCATTAACACTTATGTATGGTCAAGGAGTTCGGCAGCATAATGCATACACGTTTTTTTTATTATTATATAATATAGTTCGATCACGACGTGAAGGAGAGACTAAAGAGCACACAAAATAAAGTTTAGGTTTGATTTCAGCATCGGCAATCTTTTGTTTGGTATATGTAATTTGTGTGTGTCGATTTAAGGTTTGTGTGTGGTAGGAGATGGAACTATTTATTGCCTTTTTAATAGTGTAGCTTTTGTCGTGTGATCGATTTTGAAACACAAGGAATCGAGGAAAGCTTTGCCTTTTGCCGGAAGGATATTGACCAATTTTAGACTTTATGGAGTTGAAAAGAATCATTAGATAGAGACGTTTAATTTTACTAACTAAATTAAAAGATGGAATTAATTGCCATAGGAAGTTAATCTGGGCTATTAGTTGGTTGCCCCGAAACAAATGATGAGCTTGGCAAAGTAGTATACCTTTTTGCCTTAATACACCGATCATCAATAAAATATATATATAAATTAACATATTAAAGCTATGATCACATGTAATTTAGTTATGTTCTATTAATACAGGAAATAGTTTATTATTGAGATAGTTACTCAAATATTTTCTTTTTCTCGTAATTCGATATCAAAAGATATATTTTTTTCTCCTAACTTTGGGTTGGAGAGCTACTTAAAAATTAAAAAGACTTTGACGATCAAGTTAGTCTAATATTTTTGTGATATCTTCTCATATTATATTATATATATATTCTTCCTTAATTGTAATGGGACATTCATTTTTTATAAGATAATCATCGCGATTATCATGTCGTGATTGTTGAGTTTAGAGTTTAGGGTTTAGAATTATTGATGATCGTGATTATTAATTTCTTTAACTAAATCTTATGGTTGATATGTTATATCGACATTATTAGTGATTTACATAATTGAGTTCATATTGATATATTACTTTGATAACATTCATGATCGAGCTTATATTTTCGGTCAGGTAACTACCGTTTCTAATCTTTAAAATATGTGTTCACATGTAATTTAGTTTCTGATAGTTTCTGATCTTTAAAATATGTGTGTTTTAATATTTTAAAAATATGTGAAATTTTCTTTATCTTGTAAATAATCATGTGTACCTTATTTTTGTGTGTATGTGTAAATAAATGAAAAAAATAAATAAAAATGATGAATTGATATATGTGACAAATAATGTAAAGAAAAATAATAAAAAAAATCAACAAAAGAAATAAAATAAGAATGAAATAAACTTCAACCCTCATTCACCTTTTTCCATTCACTGTTTACCACATATTCCAAAGCATTTCTAACTAATTCAACAACTAACACATCTATGATAATATCTCTATTATTAATCCACAATACCCCTTTCATAACTACCCATTAATTATTCTCTTGTGGCCAACATCAACTCCCTCGCTTCAATAAATAAGCATGGTTGATTTTATTTATTTTTTAATTAGAAAGTATAACTTAATTTCTCACTAAATCGGTCCATATTAAAAGGTACGATAATACATACAATCATGATTCTATTTTCAAGGTGAGGATCAAATTATGATCTTTAATTAAGAAACACAAATGTTAAATTATATATGCTAATAATTGTTGGTAATTAAATCAAACTTATTTTTGAATTGTCCACTCAATAATTTTTTTCCATATATGAAACTTTGACACAAAATTTAGATGTAATTCTTTAAATATGCTATACTATTTAATACAAACACTAATTATGTGTATTTTCAAAATAAAAACTTCAATTATTATCAAAGAATGACACCTAAGCACTTAAGAAATAATAATCTTGTTTATAAATGATTGTACCATCACCATATCAAATGTATAAATTGGAGCGAAGATAGGACACACGATTTATTGAAGACTCATGGTCGCATATATTTACATTTAACCCCTGATTTGGCCTATTTACTAACAAGGTTAAGCTTTAAGCTTTTATAAAAGTCTAATAAGTCTAATAGACCAATCTTTTTTTGTGTATAATATATTATCTCAATCTCCACAATTTAACCAATGAATTTAACAATATATATATATATATCAGTTACTGGGTGAATCAATGTAGATCTATTTATAATTATTCACAAAATTACCACCGCGTATTCAATACTACATTGGTCCCATTAAAAACGATGTAGAACACTCAATATTTACATCGGTCCCAGTCATAACCGATGTAAATATGCTTTATATTATTGTTCCGGCCAAGGGATGGACTAGGGTTTCTGCCTAGGTCAAGCCTCAAAGCCAGAGCATTCAAAAGTGTAATCTGTCGTCCTAGCCCTAGGGTTTTGGGTTTTATACTTTTGTGTTATGGGCTTCGTGGGCCCCGCGATTATCGGGATCCCCCTTAACCGTTCTTATCTCGAAGCCCTGGGAGTGAGTGGTGGTTAGTCAAGTCGGGATTTTACCGACAAGGCCGCTACAAGGAGACCTGTCGGGAAAACGGCGAATGCCCTCGTGGGTGCATGTAATTGGGTTAGAGCCGAGTTGCTGCACGCTGTGACGGTCCAGACGGGTATTAGGCGAGTGGGGGGTCTAATCGGAATTTTACCGGGAAGGTACACTTGCCTTCCAGCCCTGAGCCGATAAGGCGAGAGGGCTTGTGGCCTGGAAGACCAGTCGGATATTAGACGAGTGGGGGGTCTAGTCGGAATTTTACCGGGAAGGTACACTTGCCTTCCAGCCCTGAGCCGATAAGGCGAGAGGGCTTGTGGACCGGAAGACATTGATCTTCGGAAGATATCGGCGGATAGCCGAGGTCATCATCGGGTAAAATCTGTAAGGGTACATGCGTCATCCCTTGGGGTCGTGGTTTCTC